GTGCCACTTTGTCGCTGTTCCTAACGCCTAGTGACAAAGCTAGCTACATTTCTGAGGACCCTTAGCTACTTTCTGTAGAACTTTCTTCTAGATATTTCCTGCAAATTAGCAACAAAATAGCCATTTTCACTCCGAACCGTTCTTTGGTTTGACGTTGTTTCAGCTGTCATCAAGGATATAAAAGTTACAGATACTGTGAATGTTACTGGTGTGTAGCTCACCTTGTAAGATGTCTGACTCCCATGCAGAAGACCTGGGTTTGATTCTGGATGTGAACATAGTTCATTTAGAGTTTATTTTTTACATTAGTGGTATATTTTTTTACAGTAAGACGCCCAAATTTTAATTTGAGACTCGCTGAACGGCACTGAATTCACAGATAAAAAAGATGTGGGTTCAACTTTCATTTTGGAACAATTTTTCAAGCAAGGGAAGGGAATGATCTGAGCATGCAGGAGGACTGACCCATCATAAACCTTTGTCGGCTGTGCTGAAGAGAAAGGTACAGAACCAAATTATTTCATTAATTAGCTGTGTGTTCTCCTGTCCTCCGGGCCACACACACACACACACACACGGGACAGTCTCAGCTGTTATTTTCGTTAAGGAGTGTGCACGTACAGCATGCGCGCCTCGTGCACGAGCCTACTATTGAAGCTGCCGTTACGCTTTTGGCCTGAGGGGGCAATCGCGAGCATAAAAATTCAAAAGTCCGTAAAGTCCCTTTTACATATCAGTCATATGAGTCAATAGTCCTGCATCACAAATTTTGAATTAACTTTATTAATATTTAAAGGAGCAATATGTAAGAATTCTACAGTGAAATAATAAAACAATCCAATGCCAGGGTATTCATCCTGAACGGCTGGTGTCCAGCATGTTTTAGTGGTTTCTCTGCTCCAACACGGTTGAATCACCTGCAGCAGCTCATCAGGCTCTGCAGAAGCCTGTTGATCACCTGCTGAACGATATCAGGTGTCTAAAGTCTCAACATGTTGGAAGGAAGCCTTCTGAAGGTATACTGAAACCGATGTCATTCTCAGCCTGCTGGGGGGGGATGTTGGACCGATCTGTGCCGAGCTAACACTGCAGAACCAGCATTTGTAGTTCAACAGCGGCAGGCTAAAGCTCCAGAGTTGTTTAAAGAACTGAAGCCGGGAAACGCGAGCGAACCAACATTTATTTCTTGTACCTCTAAGAAGCCACGCCCTCTTTTTGTTTTACTCCAATATCAGGCGAAGCAGGCTAGAGGCTAACTGAGCTAACAATGCTAACGGTGAATTAGAAGCAAATAGTCCGCTTTAGAAATATCTCGAGCTACTTTTTCAATAACCAAAAAAAGGATATTGTGGTCAAATGTTTGGGTGAAGTGAATAATGCATCGATAGTGGCGTTTGACTTCTTTTAACGAGTCCTTCTGAACTATAACTGCAAGCTAAATGTAGGATGGAAAACAACCACATCTCCTCTAATGCTGAGGCATATTACCATAAGTGTAGTAAGTGCTCCTTACTGTAAAACACCCAAGAGTGCTAACACCAGATGCTGGTGAAGACTCAGTCGTCCAGGTCATGGAAGTCCAAAGGGTTCAGATGAAGGCAGCTGGACTTCTGTGGTTTCTTGAAGACGTTTAACTTCTCATCCGAGGAGCGTTGTCGGTTCTAAATGGAACATGGGAGAGTCCAGCTCATAAGCTGTAGCTACCTGTTGTTATTTAACCAGCAGAAACTACTCTGAGTACCCCTCCTCTCCAGCCCCTGATGAGTCGTCGTGCTGATCAGATGCAGGAAGGGGTGACCTAGACTGAAGCTGCTTAGGAATGAGATCCAAAGCTGCATCATAGGTACTGGAAAGGTGAAATCTAAGCCCCGCCCCTATTTAAAGTGGGGTTTTCCACGTTTGACATAGACGGCTTCTTTTACTCCTCTCTCACGCCATCTGTCTTCTCTGTCCAGAATCTGGGCTTTGTCCTCTTCACAAGTGTGTCCCTTGTCCTTCAGGTGAAGGTGGACTGCAGAGTCCTGACCTGAAGAGGGCGCTCTCCTGTGTTGTGCCATGCTCTTGTGTAATTGTTGTTTAGGTCCTCTCTACACTGGACCGCATAAACGCCGCCGCTGAGCTTCTGTTTGGATGTTTTGTCTTTAGGATGGACCAGTTTCTGTCCGTTAATCCAAAGCAGCAACTAGCAAAGAAAAGGCCAACAGGCACAAAGACACCATCATCCCATACGTGGCAGGAGTCTCAGAGAAACTTAGAGGAATCTTCTCCAAACACGACATCCCGGTAAACTTTAACCCAACAACACCCTCAGACAGAACCTGGTCCAGTCGACATAAAACTACTCTTAATGAAGCCTCGGGAGTTCATGCAGAGTTCTGAAGAAAATGTCACGGTGATTAAACTCAAACCTTTGACAGAAACTAGCAACGATCACTAAGCAACATCTGGTTTGGCTTCACCAGAAGGAGGATGTTTATTTCAGAACAGTCGAGGTGTTGTTTTTTTGCTTCTTGTTGACATTGTTGCCGGACACGTGTCCGATAGATGAATGTCACTCGTTCAAGCAGGATATTGATTAGCATCAGCAGTCTCCAACAGTCACAGAGGCTGATGGGAGCACGAGGTGGGTCTTGTATCTGGGGAAAGCTTCACTGCCAGCAGTGGCGGATTTAGCAATTTGGGGGCCCAAGGCGAACACAGACATGGGGCCTCTTACACTAAATTTTTGACAATCTTTAACTGGATTTGTGAAAAACTACACGAGTTATTTTCACTTTTTATTAGTCCTCCTCTTTTTTCATGTCTTTCCCTCCCTTTGAGTGCTTTCTTCTTCCTGTCAGAGCTCCTGTGCTTGACCTTGATGGCAGCACGAAGGTATTGTCCGTCCGCCAGTGAAGAATAAAACACTTTACTGACCTTCCCAGCTCACACCTGAAGGGAAAGAATCCGAGAACAAGGTCGCTGCAGGAGAAACCTTCAGGCGAAAGCTCCGTGAACAGCTTTCACCAACTCCTCATAAAGCAGCACGTTTTGAGAAGAAGGGCCCCACGAGGCAACTTTACAGTCCTTAACTCGTTTTTCATTAAAAGTGAAATAATGCAACGCCATTCCCAAAAAGCTACTTCAGTTACATTCATTTTAATTACAATATGCTGGCATTTTACTCTAATAAACTCTGTTTTACAGTGAAGCTGGGATCTGTGGTCAGCTGTGGCTCTGATGAACAGTTTTTTTTTTGTTGATGGAAAGAACGAAAAAGAAAGAGGTCACCTCGCTCAGAATAGTCAACAACAACAACAACACCGCCCTGCCAGTCTGCAGCCAGCCTGGACCGCCCTCCCCCGCCTCCATTCCAGCACTTAACGGGTTTTTATGTCGTCCGTCGGGCAGATCAGCTCAGAGCTGTAATTCACAGCAGCAGCTCGCACAGATGAGCCCATGCAGAAGTCCAAAACAGCTAAGAAAATAATCCCAACATTTCTGTATAAAGCCCCTCTGCCGGTGGGTTCTCCATCTCTACACATCCTTCAGCCAAATAAAGTCAGATGTTCACATGCTGAACTAGTCCGATTGTGTCTCTGGACTCTACGCTCTTTGTCTGATTCAGAAAACGCTCACAGTTTTAATCCAGTTTATAGTTTTTGTGTTCCAGGATTAAACAGTTTAAGTACCTCTAAAAGCTCTTATTCAGAAATTCCTAACAGGAAGCTGTAAGTGTATTATTGTCCAAAGATAAGACGTTATCCCCGCTGTCTCTGGTTACATGGAATCATGTTGATCCTGTGATATCTGTTATCAGTCATGAACCACACCTTCCACTTTAGGGCGTCATCTCACACGTGCTCCGGGTCGCATCCTCGCTGAAACATTAGTGAAAACCACCAAATATATCCAAATATATAAAAATACTACACAGCTTTAGATTTAATCTCCACACAGAGGAGGGTGGAGGATTGACCTGTTCCTATCCTAGCCCACGTTGTAAAAACGATCTCCGGGCAGGCAGAAGCACCGCTGTGAGGAACTTATTAAATCTGCCCTTTAGTGCCGCTTTAGCAGAAGGATGCTGTCTGATCGTTCTTTAAATCCCTAGTAAAGTTCGGTTTTATTAAAATGTGCCGACAATACGTTGGCTTGCAGATTTTTGCATTAAAATAAGACTTTGTGATGTTAGGGCGACCGACATGGCTGTAAGTCTACCTTCAGTTATTAGAAGGATCAATTTAGCAACTCTAATGTCTTGTTTAGAATGAATAAATTAGGAGTTTCTGGTTGGTTTTCATGCATTTTTTTAAGCAAAGTATCCTGAAAAATACTTTTATTGTTTTCAAGGCTAAACTTGAAGATGGAGCAGTGAAAGTTTTGGGGTAACTCTAGTAGAGCTGTGCTGTGCTTATACCCCTTTGTACTTTTTCATTAAAAATACATCTAACATATTTACCTCATATTTGAGAAAACCAAGCTTAAAAAAACAAAGTTTCTAGTTATTGTTTCTATTGTCTGTTGCCGTCTTATTGATGGCGTCCACAAAGACTTATACCTAACACTTTCATTGGAAAAAGGTGAGCCTTTGAAACATATTTGTTTAAATTCTGATTTATTCGTTCATTTATTTAAAAAGCACCTTCTTACACTTTTCATGCCCAAGGTGCTGCACTTGATACAGTAAAAACACAATAACTTTGTACAGTTGAGCACAATTTCAGCAATTACTAATTCACTTATTTTCTTTTACATTTCTGTCTTGATTAAAGAAGGTAAATGTATGATTTATGTGAACATGATTTATTAAAGAGGATGGGTATTCTGGAGGATGGCCATGACCACCTTTTGGAGGCGCCACTGCAATATATGAAAAATAATATTAAAATTATAAATTGTATTCTTATGTTAATGATGAACTTAGACCTTTTTTACCTGAGTCTAAAAGACTGAAAAGTTTATTATTTATATTTATTTATTTATTTCAATTTAATGACACTTGTTTTTTTCAAGCAATGAAACATCAATTTTCTGGGGCAATTATTATTTTACAAGTGTGATATGAGTCTGGTATCAACACAGAAGTTAATGCGACTAAATCTGTAATCTGTGGTAAAATAACATGATGATATATTATTTAAAATTCTGATAAAAATGAAAAGTTCCCTGTTGGAAAACATTTTAGCAGGAAAAAAATGCATCGATCCAAATAAAAGTCAAGCATATACATATACATAGTTGTGGTATAATCTGTGATTCTGGATCTCCACCCACTGACCCCACGGAGCTCATTTGTAAGACCCTCTCCTCTCCGCCCCCTTTAGGGAACCCCCATCAGAGCTTTTATAGACACGCCTCTGGATCAGACCGGAGAGGAACACCAGCTGGAAAGTCGCTCCTGGATTTCAACAACTCTGTTTTTGCGTCTCTGGAACCCGTCCGATCAGTTTTTCAAATCTGGGTTTTTGAGATCATTTAACTCTACAAGAAGGATGTGGAGAAATTCTGCGTTTTATGTCATTTATGTGATGATTTAGTTCACAAAGTGGATCAAAAAAAACGACCTTTCGGATTAAAACAGCCGATTTGCTTATAATTAGTTATTTCAAACCTAAAATAAAGCTTAAGCCCATTTAACCCTCAGCAGCGCCATGCTGTCCAGCGTCCGCCGGCACAGCCTCCGTCTGCAGACCGAGCTCCACCGGTGGAGCATCTGCGACCCGGGCAGTCACCTCGTCCTGGCCCGGGTCCCCGCATGCATCTCCCGCTCCAGGTCCTGCACCAGCTCCGCCGGGGAGTCGGACGGAAGCCGCGGGAGCTGGTCCTCCTCAGACTCCGTGATCTCCTCGGACTCGGCCGTGGAGGCGGCGGAGCCCGGGAGCCCTTACCGGGTGGTGCTGCTGGGGGGCAGCGGGGTCGGCAAGACGGCGTTCGCGAGCATCTTCGGCGGGGCGGCGGACAGCATGGACAGCGACGAGTGCGATCTGTGTGGAGGTAAGTTACACAAGCTGATCTAGGATCGGCTTGTTTGATATCTCATTCAAAATATGTTCAAACTTTTTAGCTGCACTCAAGGAAATGTCTTCATTTTTAGTCAATTTACTAAAAGATAAAAGTTAGTTGAAGAATTTTCTGAGTAGTTACTGGCTCAGGGGCGGTTCTAGGGGGGGTCCAGAAAGGGCAGTGCCACCCTGACAGCAAGCTTGGCCCCCCTGTGCCCCCCCCCCCCTCCTGCTGAGGGCTTACGCATTAATAAGTACTGATTTTTATAGATAATACAGCCTAACGTGAGATGTGGAACCAAAGCACATGAATACATTTATCTGAAATTGGGAAGAAATGCTGAGACAAATTATTCATGTTACTGATCTAGATAAGTGGCATTTTCCCCCAAAAATATTGTATCTAAAGAGCCTATAACAGATTTTACATGGTAAAACCTGAAAGACTTAAAGTTTGCCCCTAACAGAGCACGCCCCTGCTATAACTGTAAGTGTACAAATATAAAGTTGTTTTTTTCTCCTTTCTGTTAGACCAAGTGTGTGAAAAGGAGATTGAAGTGGACGGAGAACCTGCAACTATAATTCTGTTGGACACCTGGGATGCGGAGGTGAGATTTTAAGAGTCTGAGCTCACTGGATGATGCATCACTCTTCATAATTTATTTAACTGTTTGTTCTTTGCAGACTGACAGCGAGTTGTCTGTGGAGCGCTACATGCAGATAGGCGACGCCTACTTGCTGCTGTACTCCATAACCGACCGAGCGTCGTTCCTGAAAGCCTCAGAGCTCCGTATAACCCTGCGACGCTTCCGCCCTGCCCGCCACACCCCGATAATCCTCGTGGGGAACAAGTGTGACCTGGTGAGGCGCAGAGAGGTGTCAACAAATGGTGAGGATGGAGCCCCTCTCGCCGTGTGGTGTTCAGGTGGTAAAGATAGCGGAGGCCCATTTGACCTGACATTTGACCTTTTGTGTTTCAGAGGCTCGTGCTTGTGCCGCTGTGTTTGACTGTAAGTTCATAGAGACCTCAACTGCCATGCAGCACAACGTCTGGGAGGCTTTCTACGGCATTGTACGGCAGCTGCGCCTGCGCCGAGACTCCAAAGAAGACAACAAGCGCCGCGGAAACGTCCACTGCACCGCACGCCGCGAGAGCCTTTCCATGAAGGCTCGGCGTTTCATCGATAAGGTGGTTGCTAAGAAGAACTCCAGCATGGCGTTCTGGCTCAAATCCAAGTCCTGCCACAATCTGTCGGTGTTGTGAACGATCCCCAGATGTGCAGCAATCATCTGAGCAGTTCATCGACTTAAAAAGCTGCTGAGGAGACAAGAGGGGACGCCTGCTTCAGAGGGACAATGAGTTGGATGGCTCAGTCCTCGACGGTGCTCACCATCCCCCCTTCGTTCCACCTGGTCAGGTGGTGGTGTGTTCGGTGTTTGCAGCGAGTCCGCTCTACCATCGTGCAGATGTGTTGAGTCCGATCCAGACGGCGGGGGACAGCGACCAGAACAAAACCATGCTTTGGACGCGTTGGGACAAAGACGTTTGAGAGGTCTGCTGATGGGAACTTTAGAGCACTTTCCATCTTTTCCTCCTATTTCTGCCAACTTCTTTCACTTCCATCTCAGAGCGCTAACACGTCCGTTTGTAAGATTTGTGCTGCACTAATCTCCGATGACATCTGTAGTATTTGATTTCTTCTATTTATTTGCGTGTTTTTGCTGCTTGTACGCAGCTTTAGCTGTTCTCGGTGAAATAAAGTGACATTTTAGTCAGACGGACGAACAACGGGCTCTTTGTTTGTGTTTTCTTTTCACTTCTAAGAAACTAAAGTGAATCATGAGTCATGTCCAGCTCACAAAAGCTGACAGGCTTCAGCAGTGACACAGCTGAGCTGATGGAAGGTGAGTCAGGCCGTGACGGTAAAGCCGAACATTTATGGCGCTAAAGTGCCCCCCCCCCCCAAAAAAAAATCAGGATCTGGTGAGAGACCTGGGTTACAGAGCAACTAAAATGTTAAGACCTGCCGCCCGAGAGCCTAAACGGATCTGAAAACTGGTGTAGTGTTGGGAAATGTGTTGCCACGGCAACGTTGAGATGAGCCAGCGCTTTGTGTTTGTGTGCGCTGAGGCAGATGGCGTCGGGGATGTTGGCGTTGGGATGGAGTAGCTGCGTGGACGTCTCTTACATAATTCCATCTGAGTCCTTTAACACTCCGCAGTCGTAGGCTTCGTGTGGAAAGCAGGTGGATCTCCTTCAAGCATGGACGTAATTTTGGGGGGGGGGGACAGGGGGGACATGTCCCCCCCACTTTTTCCAAAGTCAAGTTTTGACCCCTGCACTTTTTACCATCCAAAAACAATATTACTTTATATTAAATTGACACTGGTTGAGCTCTAGGACCAAGCGGAAAACAACCGTTTGTGTTGAAGCCTGTTTCCTATTAGAACATACTGTAAACATACCCCCCCCACCACCACCCCCGCGTCCCCCCCCCACTTCTAAAGTGAAAATTACGTCCATGCCTTCAAGTCTACTAAATCATCTGCAGGTCCCTTCAGCCTGGAGCCGCCTGTGTGATCCGCTCGTAAGATACACCTTTAGGGTTTGGTGCGATGAAGGTGGGAACATTCATCAGCAAGCCTCGACCTGCTGCGTCACTCAGACGACCTCTGAGTTTTGGATTCCTCCTCTGCATTCATAACCTTCTAGTGTCCGCGTTCACACACAGCTCCTTATCAGGTGTGCTACTAATGGAAAATCCGACAGGAAACGGTGCCGCGGTGCAGAGGTCAAAGTCTGAGGAAATTAGTCACACAAGCCTAGAAAACACAGAAATTTGTTTAAATATCTTTTTCTTGTACCGTTTGATTCATTCAGATGCTTTTAGAACATTGTTTTACTTCAGCTGTGACTTCATTAAGTAATTATTTCCCTTCCCATTAATAAAATCTACAAGTGTTTGAGTTTAAATATCAAATCTGTGTCTCATATTAAATTATACTCTGTTTGTCTTTCACGGCCCTCGCTGCATCTTTCATTGTTCGGCTCTTCCTGCCGCTTATGTCAGCTGCCTCCCGATTGGCCGGCTCAGTTAGCAGGAAGGGTGATTAGACAATCATTAGATTCAATAAAACATCGCTGGTTAACTCCTGGTTAACGTTTGACCAGACGGCGTGAAGCTGCTCGGATCACTGTGGGGTTTGACGAGGGACTCGCTCCAGCTCTCTTGGGGAGGTAAGTCACTTCTGCCGGACGTCTCTTCGTTTTGGTGTTTGTTACGTCCACGGATGGGTTTTGGGTGTGTGTGTGTGTGTGTGTGTGTGTGTGTGGCAGAAACAAACAGCGTTAGCTTCATGGACTGTGAGATAAACCGGTGCGATACATTCAGATCTTTGCAGATTGATCTTGACTTGACTTTGGCGGGGCCCAGTGCGAGTCGTCGACCAAGACGGATCTCCATCAGCTTCCGGGGTGGATTTTAACATCTGGCTTTCACTCATGAAAAAGGACTAAATTCATTACAACAGATTATTCTAGCAGAAGTCATTTAATTGGTGTGTTAATCCGTGAAGGACATGGCCTAAACTTGTTGGGTTCTCCCGTTTTCGGTGTGTTTCAGCATCAGTGCAGCTCAAAAATAATAGTCTTTACTGGAAATCCGTCAAAAATGTGGACAGAAGATAATGAAAGTGTTAGAACAGTTAGAGGCTACATGTTTAGGTTCAATACTAACCAGATTAACTTAAGTAAGGAGTGTGTTTATGGACGAGAGGTTATGCTTAAACTGTGCTGTGCAATGAAAAGGTCATGACTCAATGTGACCTTCAGTCAAAGAGTCGGCCGTTTCTCCTCCTCTTCACCTTCGTTTACCAGTCAAGCTCGTTTTAGTCGAGTTAAACTTGTTTGTATTGTTATCGTTGTTTATTTTAAGCTAAGGTGTTTTATATTTGTAAGTAAGCACAACTCCACATGGTGTCCCTCCCTGAGGTTAAATCAGCTCTTAATTAGTTTACATGAATTTTTGATCACTGCAGACGTTCTTGTACAAATACTTGTTAAAAAAGCTCATAAATGTATTTCAGCGTCTCGGTGTGTCATAAAGTCACCGGGGTTATGCACTCTGAAACGACCTTTGCCGCTACGCTGACATCCTGCAGGATCTAGGAGGAACAGCTGGGTGGGGGGTGCAGGCTTTCAGTTTCTCCTCTATGTTCAGGTCTTTGATTCACCTGGCTGGGAGGGCGTTGATTGGCCTGGCTGGGAGGGCGTTGATTGGCCTGGCTGGGAGGGCGGAGCCGTGCGGCGTTCTTTAAGCTCACATTCTGCTCAGTGCTCTGATAGTGTTGACACGTGTGCGGCCGCCGTCTTTGTGAATCAGAGTAGATGTTCCACTGAGACACGTTAGATTTAAACGTTTCTGATGTTCCCTCTGAAAGCATCACCTCTGCCTCTTCAACGTTCTCTCTTGTCTCCCACACCTTCGCCGCCCCGCTCCTTCCTCTTTCACAGGCCGCGGTAATGACACCCATGGTGCATCTGTTGTTGCTCCCATTCCTGTGCAGCATCGTGAGTACATTTCACCACCAACTGCTGCTGCTGCTCTCTCACTACATATTCATCACAAATACTCAAATGCACAAATCTGCAGACGTCTCCGTGTGTGTGCTAATGCTTACATCTGTGCACGGATGCCTTTGGAACCTCTGGAAACATGTTTAAAATGCTAAAGACGGCTTTAGGAGTTAGTCTGCAGACTTTGTTCTCCTGCTCTCAGGAGGAATACTGAATCCTGCTACTGCCGTGTAATTTTGGATCAATAAATAACCGCCGTCAATGGTTGACCAGATCCTCGAAGTGGAAAGTTGACGAGAGCTTAGCTTGACCTTTCTCTCTACTGTACTTGGTGACATTTTAACCTGCCTTTCTTGTGCCGCAACAGGTGGGTGGGACCAATTTGGAGGAGAAGAAAGGCCCGTTTGTGAACACAGAGTTGGACGTTCCAGAGGGAACACCAGTACCGTACGCCGTTTATCAGGTATTCATCACCAGGAGAACTTCTGGAGGTGGCTTCCCAAAGCCAGCCAGTTTATTTAGCTGCTGTTTGTAGGTCTTTGAGGAGTTATACCAGGCGCTAGTCAGGAGATTGTCTTGTACAGGGTATCCGCGGGTCCTTAAAAAGTCTTAAATTTGCTTTTCCAAATTTAAGGCCTTAAAAATCCTTTAAAATGACAAATAATCCTTAAATACTGTTTCCAAAGGTCTTAAATTAAAGACCCAATAAACAAGATATTTTTATTTCTATGAAATTTTCGTGAAATTCTAGTTAGTGTTCAGCATTTTATGTGTATCATATTTGCGTAAGCGGAACCGTACACATTCAGTTGGTTGTGAAAGGGGGATATTTTTAGATGAGCACATTAGCTGTTTAAGCTAGCGGGAGCGTGCACCATGGGGAAGTGCACGTTTAATGGTAACAGGATGGCTAATCCCACGATCGCGACGTGGTTAGCACCGGTTTCATGCAATAGCTGGAAATTATAGCTTAAGTGAAATTTAAAAAATAGCTTAAATTTGGTCAAAGTGGACCTAAAAAAGGTCTTAAAATGTCTTAAATTTGGCTCCTTTAAACCTGCAGATACCCTGCTTGGTTTTGTCTTTGTGCTAAAGCCAGTGTCTCACTGGGCTGGGATGGTTTGGGACAAAAAATACAAGAACTTGGGAATTCCCACAAACGCTCACAAGGATTCTCAGTTTCCTTACATAAATGACGGAGCCTTGATTTTTCTGATGGAAGAGAAATTTTCTCTCAAAATACTCACAAGAGGGTCTGGAAGCAGCCCGGTTAGATTCTGTGAGTCAGGAACGTGAGACAACGATGGAATGATGCGACTGGAAAAAAAATCTGACGTTCTGCGACGAAAATACAAATAAAAGGAAATTTCGCTCTCTTGCACACCTGTCAGTTTATTTCTGCAGCTTGCACTTACATTAAAGGGTTAAAGCTGCGTGATTTCAACGGGGAAATTTTCTTATTCAACTTCTGTGAAACGTATGAAACACTTCTTAAATCACAGATGAACAACACACTGGGTTGGAAAATTTCTAAATAAGACAAAACTAGATGAGGTTGATCCATTTAGTTAACCAGAATAGACGTATTAAAGGTGTGGAACACTGAAAAAACATGTTTTAATGGTTATTTCTGATTCTAACGGGTCACTCTGAGCGTTTGATGCAGGCTGAACATGAAAATAGTCTCCTACACCTATCTCCTGCATTAGCTTCT